AGAAGAGTAATGCAAAGGTTAATAACATATACTATTGTTTGCATTAAAATTTACATATATATACTAAATTGTAAGCTGAGGAAATGTGTAATATTTTGAAGTATAAAAATTAGGATAAACTCCTTTTACAGAAATCTGTTATGTGATCACCTTTTATTTATATACTTCAGCTAAATACTTTCCTTTCATTCTTTTTTTCTTTGGGCTTGTATAAGCTTTCTACCAAACTCTAAAGTTCTTAGGGATCAAATAGTGCCATTCAAACTTGCTTACCTTGCCTTGAAACAAATCAACTTACATGCTCATTAGACGGGTCCATTATTTTCCAAGGGGACAGGAAAGGAAAACAGACAAAGTATTAGAGACCACTCTTCTGAACATGGTCTCACATATAACTATAGAATAAAATATTTTTTTCTGAGTTACTATATTTAATTGAATCTAAGATGCTATCAATGGTAAGATGTAACTTATTTGATATTCTAAAAAGAAAAACTAAAACTCTGCCAATGAAACTATGATACACTATTGGTTGAACAAGTTATCCTAATTTCAGAGAAGTCATTAGAGCGCTGCAAAAGTAATTGTGGTATTTGCCATTAAAAGTACTGCAAAAGCAGCAATTACTTTTGCACCAGCCTCATGACAGACAAGATCCATTTTACAAATTGCTTCTGCTGTTTTCCATGTATACAGTTATCAAGAAGATATTTTCTCTTTTAAGAGATATGACTTTGGCTTGAAGGAAGTAGAATAGTAGTATAAAAAGTTTAAAAAAAAACCTACCTTAATGTTTGGAGGATTTTTTTCTTTTTAATTTAAACTTTATTCTTGTTTCTGTGAGTCTTTTTGTTTCTTTGTTTTTGAGATGGAGTCTCACTCTGTCACCCAGGCTAGAGTGCAGTGGCATGATCTCGGCTCACTGCAACCTCCGCCTCCGTGTTTAAGCTATTCTCCTGCCTCGGCCTCCTAAGTAACTAGGTTTACAGGCATCCAACACCATGCCCAGCTAATTTTTGTATTTTTAGTAAAGATGGGATTTCACCATGTTGGTAACGCTGGTGTCAAACTCTTGACATCATGATCCGCCTGCTTCGGCCTCCAAAAGTGCTAGGATTACAGGCACGAGCCACTGCGCCCAGTCTATTTCTGTGAGTCTTTAGGCTATGGGTTGATCTAGCTGGCACTTGATTCCCCTACTCACTGTCTCCACAGCTCCCAGTTTCTCCGCCCATCAGTCTCTCTTCTCCACACCATTAAGAGGCATTTGAAATTTTGAGGTGAGTACTAAATATGCCTGAAAGTATCATTATAAAGAAATATTCACAAATGGTCAATCAAGCTTTAAAAAATTTTTCAAAACATGTTAAAAACTATCGTATCCCAAACAACTTGTTGTAATAGGTATACATTGATAATGAAAGAAGTAAAGCCAATTGTTTGGCTATCAGAGAAGGGACTTACAGAGAAATAACTGGTTCCCCGACCCCCTCACCACCTCAACTTGATTTAATTAGTTGATTAATCATGGCTGATTAACTAGTCACCTGTGGCCTGTCTCCTTATCTGTTTTGGAGATAGGCATTATGAGGAAACAAAACTAGGAGGAAATATTAAATTGCAATTTAATTGATTCATCATGTATTGCATATCAAGATATTTTCTAACGTGTCAGATTCTTCTGGCATTATATACAATATTCACTTGCTCATCACTCATCCATCTGTTAAATAAACCCATATGAAGTACCTCACGAGTCTCAGGTACTCTGGATAGAAAGATAAACAGTGCTGCTTTCTGTAGCAGTGGTTCTCAAACTTTTTGTTACCTAAGAACTCATCTCTACTCTCAAAAATTATCGAGGATTCCAAAAAGTTTTGTCAGGTGTGATGGCTCATGCCTGTAATCCCAGCACTTTGGGAGGCAGGCCGATCACTTGAGTCCAGGAGCTGGAGACCAACCTGGCCAACGTGGCGAAACTTCATCTCTACTAAAAATACAAAAAATTAGCCAGGTATGGTGGTGCACGCCTGTAGTCCCAGCTACTCAGGAGGCTGAGGCATGAGAATCACTTTAACCTGGGAGGCAGAGGTTGTAGTAAGTTGAGATCATGCCACTGCACTCTAGCCTGGGTGACAGAGTGAGACTCTGCTCAAAAAAAAAGAAAAAAGAACTTTTATTTTTGTGAATTTCATCTCTCACCACCACATTAGAAATTAAAATGAGAAATTTTAAAATATTTAATTGTTAATTCAATATTTATGAAGAAAATTAGCCTTGTACAGATATTAGACACAGAAAAGGAAGCTTTTTTTTTTTTTTTGAGACAGACTCTTGCACTGTCACCAGGCACCAGGCTGGAGTGCAGTGGTGCAATCTAGGCTCACTGCAACCTCTGCCTCCCGGGTTCAAGCAATTCTCCTGCCTCAGCCTCCCGAGTAGCTGGGACTACAGGCACATGCCACCACGCCCAGCTAATTTTTTGTATTTTTTAGTAGAGATGGAGTTTCACTATGTTGGCCAGGATGGTCTCAATCTCTTGATCTCATTATCCACCTGCCTCGGCTTCCCAAAGTGTTGGGATTACAGGCATGAGCCACCGCGCCTGGCCAGGAAGCATATTTTAATAGCCTTTTCAGATAAGTGTGCTATTCTTTTTTGATACTGAACAAAGCTTTGACAAATAGTTTACTAAAGATTAGTTGCATGGTTGAATTTGAAACCATATCAATGAACATTTAAAAATCTGCTGCATTAAAATCCATTAGTTAATCTTACATTTTGAATAGATCTTTAACCCATAAACTACATGCATGATTTTGTAACATCATTCATTGGTCACTTAGAAAGTATTGTTTCACTGAGTTATGCAGGTTTCCCAAAATGTCAGCATATTTCATAAAACATTTTAAAAGGAATCACCACTGTTAATATCACCACCAAACTCATCAGTAAAGTCTTTACATATTAGGAAGCTGTCAAGTTCACAGTGACAGATACTAATTGTTCTTCAGGTTACAATTCTTGTCTACATGTTTGAATTTTATCATTGGCAATAAGTACTATTGATTGTTTTTCTTGAAGTGACTTGGCTTGCTTTCATTCATTGTTTAAAAAATATCTGCACAACACCTAAGTCTCAATAACCATAGTTTGTCTGTCAGTTGCTTTTTAAAGTAAAAATGGTATTTCATGAAAAGAGTAGCTATTTCAGGTTACACCTCAAACATTTATCTCACAAATGCTTTTCCTCAAGACAATTAGATCTCAGTAGTCAGTGAAAGTGCTTTTTGCATGCATCCATTTTGTCATATAGAATATTAAAGATGTATATTCAGATATTTAGATTTCATAAAATTAACAATGATTTCATTGTTTTTAAAAAGATATCCTTAACTGAAATTGGTATTTTTTTTGTTTGTTGTTCGTTTTGTGTTGTTTTTGTTTTTGTTTTATTGCAAGTGTGAGGTGGTTAAGAATATGGCTATAGTGTTATATATGGTTTGGTGCCACAGTTTTAATTTATGCTAAGGTGTTAGCAGTTTTATACACCAATGCTTTCTGTCATCAGTGCAAATCTCAACAGAGTGAAAAAGGCAAGTAATGTCTTAGTATTATTTTGAAAATAGATTTGACATTGTAAATCCCCCTGAAAGGGTCCAGGGACCCCAGAGGATCTGCTAACTTCACTTTGAGAACCTACTCTAGAGATTGAAAGGTTAAGGGAGAAGACAGATTAATGAACATGCTTTTTCAGTGGTTTGTAATAAGTACAGTGATAGAGGAAAGCACAAAATCTTTTCAGAGCACTTTTTAAAGGAGAATATATCTGAGTGTGATCCTGAAGAACACTGAAGTGTCAGCCAAGTAATGAAGGAAGTTTTTGGCTAATCTAATCCTGTGCCCGGAATATGATTTCTGTTTTCATTTTACCAATGCTTTCTAAAGCCTAAAAACATCTCAACCATATGGTTTTTATACAGCAATTGGATTTAAAAAAAATGTATGCCTGGTCAAGTAAGGCAATTAATAAACAATTACCATTCAAGGTTGAGTTACTATGGGAATTTGGAAGGAAGGCAGACCTGGAGAGTTGCATGAGATTCCATGTTGTATTGCATAGACATTTTTATGTGGTAAGCCAGATGTCATCTATTTCAAATACTTCTGGGCTCTGTGTCCCAATAGAAATAAATTCAAATCAGTCTTCATCAATGTGACCTTGTAAGATGTCACTGAACTATTTTAACTAACACTGAAAAAAGATGAAATGACTGACATGGATTCAATCCCTCACATATGACTTGGTGGCCTTACAAATATGATTACATTTAATTATCAAACAATTTAATAGGTATTATATACTCCCATATTTAAGACCAAGAGACTGAGGTTCAGAGACATTAAGTAATATGCTAAAGGTTACAAAAGCGCATACTGTGCAGAACTGGCTTCTAAGCCAGCTGTGTTCAACTGGGAAGTCCCTGTTCTTTCTCAAACTGGGATATATATAACTGGGAACAGGCAGAGATATTTCAGGAGTAAGATAAGCCCCATAAAACACACTGCCCATCCTGCTGGAGCACCAATTTGCCTGGACAGTTGATTTTTTATTTTATTTTATTTTTTTTTGAGACAGTCTCACTCTGCCACGCAGACTGGAGTGCAGTAGCATCTCAGCTCAGAGGCAGCCTCTGCCTCCCAGGTTCAAGTGATTCTCATGCCTCAGCCTCCTGAGTAGCTGAAATACAGGCACGCACCACCATGCCCATCTAATTTTTTGTATTTTTAGTAGACATGGAGTTTCACCATGTTGGCCAAGCTGGTCTCAAACGCCCGACCTCAGGTGATCTGCATGCCTTGGCCTCCCAAAGTGCTGGGCTTACAGGCGCGAGCCACTGTACCTGGCCCGATAGTAGATTCTTAAAATATTTTCTAAATTAAAAAAACCCAGATATATAATGAAATAGAATTAAAATCATTTGAAGATGGAGACTTTCAGCCTTATGCAGCGGCAGTATCGTAGCCAATGAGGTTTATCCGAGGCGCAATTATTGCTAATTGAAAACTTTTCTCAATACCCCGCCTTGACGATTTGCAATACAGTCAGCACTGGCAATTTTTGACAGTCTCTATGGAGACTGATTTTAAAAAAAAATAGAAGATGGAGACTTCCAAGGCATTCCTTCTTGAGAGGGAAGGACCTAGGATCTTCCTACGGCATCTAAGAGTTGGAGTTCATAGTCCTCTGCATTGAGGGGACTTTTGAGATACACCCTGAGACATTCATTTTTTTATGTCAAACAAACCAATGTGTTTTGCCCAGTAACTAGAACAAATGCTGTTCAGTTAGTGTGCAAAGAAGTCTAAAAGTGCTCCCAATTCCTGCTTGTTGTGGGTATAACACATATTTCTAAGCTTGATTCACAGATGTGACATCAGCATATACCAGAAGAGGTAAGGCTAGAAGGGAAGAAATGATTAACTCTAATACTTACAAAGAGCCACTAATGGCCAATGATAGTGATGACGATGAGAATGAGTGTGATGAAAATGATATTTTTTGAGTATCTACCATGTGCCGAGCACTATGCATAAATTCATCATCTTAAGTTAACTGCACAACGATCTTATAAGTTGATCTTACTGTCCCCTTTTGTGTATGTACCCAGACGTAATACTATGCATTTGTGTTATCTCAACAAGTCTAAGCTATTATTATCCATATGCTGCTGACGAAAAATTGGTCTCAGAGTGGATAAGCAATCACTCAAGTTTATACAGTAACTAAATGATGAAAATATGTAAATACCCTGATGGGTTTGTCTCAAAAGCCCTAGATCATTCCATGCCATGCTGCCTTGATATAAGGTAGAGATACTGTATTAGTCTGTTCTCACACTGCTAATAAATAAATACCCGAGACTGGGTAATTTATAAAGGAAAATAAGTTTAATGGCATCACAGTTCCACATGGCTGGGGAGGCCTCACAATCATGGCAGAAGGTGAAGCAAGAGCAAAAGCATGTCTTACATGGCAGCAGGCAAGAGAGCAGTCTTTGTAATACCCTCAGATCTTGCTAGACTTATTCACTATCACAAAAATAGCATGGAAAAATCCTCCTCCCATAATTCCATTACCTCCCATTAGGTCCCTCCCATGACACATCGGGATTATGGGAGCTTCAGTTCAAGATGAGATTTGAGTGGGAAACAGCCAAACCATATCAGATACCTATATCATTTGTCATTTAAATTTGGATACTTTTGAAAGTAAAAGTGGATACTATTGTTGATTGTATCAGAGCAAGAGAAATAAATTAAGATTGCCTCAGAAAATAAGGAATAAATAGTTACCTCACTATAGGCAAAGATAAAGGCTGAGTGGTATCAAACTTCTTAAAAATATATGCATCAAGATATTTCTTTAAAATATTGACTAATCATTTCACCTCAAGCAACTTTTTACAGTATGGAGTAGGGCAGGGAGAAGGCACACATATGTGCTTAATACGAAGAAATAATTTTTACCTAGCAATTTATAGAGTAAAAACATGCATCATTTTTGATACATTTTTATACACAATATAACAGAAGTCAGTCACAAAACTCTAAAGGGGATAAAGAAGATTTAGAAAACTCAAATTCAGTATTAGAAGTTAATGAATGTGGCACTTACTGTGTGCTGAAATATTATAACTTACTGATGGAGGGGAGAAAATTCTGAGAAGTGTGCTACATACTTGAATATTTCCTATTTCAGAAATAATCCTGTAACAATAACTGAGACAGTTTTATATAATTGTGGCAGGTAGTCACTCCACCCTGATTCAAGTACAGGTTTGGGCATGTTTTTTTTTTCTTTTGTAGTTGCTTCTACTCAATGTATCATAGGTGTAAGTCCTTAATTTTTTTCCAGTAAAAGAAGAATAGCTTATAATTTCTTTTGTTTCTTTTTCTTTGATGCAAGAGTTCTCTCCTCCCAATTTTTAACCTGCTTTGTTCAGACATTTTTTTCTGCTCTAGTTTTTTCTTTTTTACTCCTCAGATTTACATAAAGTTAAGTGACTTAAGCTATTTGTGACATTATTTTTGGATTTTACTGCTTCTTGCTTTGGCTGCTCCTGATCATTTCCAGATTTATTTTCTAGAGGAAGCCAATTTAGTAAAATCTTTTTTTTTTTTTTAAATAAGTACTGTAAGCTTTCAACCAAACAGGCCACTCAAATGTACAGAAGAAAAAGCCATATTTATTCACAAACAGATGGGTTTTGCTTTTTCCTTTTTTTAATTCTAAAGAGACAGATATATATGCTTGAGTACTACAATATGTATAGCTTTGAACAAACATTTTATGCAGACATTAGGTCTAAACACAAGGAAAAGCAACAACTCAAATAGTATAATTTACGGAGATTTTTCTGTAGTGTGTATGTGCATCTTGTAAATTCTTGTGCTTAAAGTTGCCTTTCAACCTTTTAAAATCATCCTTATCAATCTTTTCAGTTGGCTGGACATAAGAAAAGGAGGCTTTTCTCATGAATGAATATGAGAGTTATTATGTTAAGCATGGAGTAAGAGTGTGCTGAGCACTTAATGCAACATGACATGCCTGGTACTCCCCACAAGCTTACCTTCAAAAGGATGAGACAGAGACAAATATAGCTCTGTGTACATGTCAAATGGCCAAGTGCTGAGGGGGAAATATCTCTTATCCCCCTGCTTTTTTTCCCATTGTCTCTCCATGAGACCAAGGTCACAGAACCTAATGAGGAACAGAAGTCAAAGGAAGTAAAGTTCTTAGGTCTCCTGTACAGTACCTGGATTATAATTAATAGCTGAGGTTTTGAGGCCAACCAGATCAAGAAAGGCAAGATGTTCTGTTCCCACAGGTGCCCGTAAGCTTGGCAATGCTAAAGTTAGGGATGGTTTGCCTCTTCAGAGCCCTGCAGCATCATAATTGCTCAAGGTCCTGAAAGATATGATATCATTTCATATGAAAATGTGGCAAGGGCAGAGAGAAGAAAGACTCAAGTGATAGAAAGCGAAGAAAGAAAAGCATGTTACTATTATATTTTTATACTAATGACCTTCACTTGGTCTCTAACACAGTCTGTCAGATCTTAAAAGTTTATTTCTAGCCTTAAAGAAAGTAGCTTGAACAGTTTATATTTCTGGATATGGCAGGCAGCGTGGTAAAGGAAAAAGCAAGGTCCCTGGAGGCAGAGAGGTGTGTGCTTGATCAGTTCTGCTACAGACTTTGCGTGACCTTAAGCAACTTCCTTAGATAACTCAAGCTCTGTTTTGTTACCTGTAAAATGGTTACAATAATACTTACTCCCCAGTGTTATTCTGAGTACTAAATGAGTTCCTATACCCAAAGCATCTAGTCCAAGGCCTGCATGACTTTGTGTTCATTCATTGGGTATTGCTATTGTCATTAAAAATATAATTTTATTCCCAGAAATTACATTTTATTACTGTCATAACCTTATAGACCAACAACAAACTGAGTAATCTCTTCCGTCTCTTCCCTGTGTGGCCGGCACTTTTGGAGAAAAATTTCTTAGAGGGAAATGAAAGCAGTACAACCAGCTGTGATTTGTCAGGGTCATATAAAACAGCTATACACCACCACCAACAACAACAAAATCAGTACCTAAGAACTAGATAAAGGCAGGTTTGAAACCACCAAAAGCAGCATAAAAGGGTAAAGCCACAAAAATCAATATATATTCTAAAAAGTATGTATAGAAGGTAAATTACATTTGGTGTGTGTGTGTTTTGTGGTAATAAGGAGGATTAAGATAATATTTAAAGTGGTTAAGAAATCTGGTCTGGGCTCACTACACAGCATTTGATCTTCAGAAAAATAAAGTGCTATTTAGTTTTTGGTCCTCAGTCTTCTCATCAAAAAATGGGAATAATAACACACCTACTTCATAGGATTGTCATGAGGTTTATATGGGATACTACATGCAAAGCAATCACTAAAATCCTGAGTTAGCAGATACTACTTAGCCCGGGGCCTGATGGCTAGGCTGATTTTCTTCTTTCCAATCAGAGGCCTCTGCCACAAACATGCTCCGCCACATCTTTGGTCAGGCTAAGAAGCATCCGAGCTTGTTCCCCGTCTCTGTATTTATTGGAGCTGGAGGTAGGAGAGCAGCCCTGTATCTCTTGCGTCTGGCATTGTTCAATCCAGATGTTTGTTGAGACAAAAAGAATAACCCAGAACCCTGGAACAAACTGGGTCCCAATGATCAATACAAGTTCTACTCAGTGAATGTGGATTACAGCAAACTGAAGAAAGAACGTCCAGATTACTACATGAAAATGTGAAGCTGCTTTAAAATGAAGGTCTTCCAGAAGCCATCCGCACAATTTTCCACTGAACCAGGAAATATTTCTTCTCTAAATGCATGAAATCATGTTGATGTAATCTGTTGGTGATTACTCTGATTAATAAATAACTGAAACTAAAAAAAAAAAATCCTGAGTTAAGGATGAAATCTTATTAGCATACATGTGCTTTTTGCCTCTATTTCACATCCGTTGGTCATGTTGTCTCCATTTTCTCTTCTGGCTGTTTCTCTAAATTATCAGGACTTCCCAAGGCAAAGTCTTGGGAATGTCTGCATCTGGAACATTTGAATGCATATGAGTGCTCCCTGAGAATGAAGCATTCTAGAGTGTAAAAGTCATGAGCCAGTTATATATGATTCTCTGCATAAGTCCACAGGAACCCAGTCTGGGCTTCTCTCCTTTGGAAAGAGGCACAGCATGGCTCCCAAAAGGCCAACTACAAGTCAGAGGCCATGCATCATGTTTTGACTTTTTACCATCAAAATTCATCTATCAGTGAGACACAGCTCATATGACTAATCTTGTTTGATTTGGCAATGAAGTGAAATGTCAATAGGCTTCCTATTTTGACTGAAATTATTAAATATACCAAAGGGAATACCACATGTGTGTTAGTCATCCCAGAATAAAGATGAGCATACATCCCTGAAAACTTCAACTCTACTAATGGGATAATGGATCACCAGAATATTTTATATTTCAAATGCATACTTTGTTCACATTCTTGCTTCACTTGGAGATTTGTGTCACTGTTGCCAAAGTCTTGGGTTTCCTT